CCTACAGTTCACAATCTAAAAGGAGAGGGAATGGGGACACATATAACAAGGGCCTTCAAATACCTGGACACAGCTGCATTTCATTCAAGGTAGCTAAAGATGGTGATTTCTAGGAGATTTTCCACATAGGGTAAAGAAGGAAAATCCAAGGACAAGAGATGCAGCAATCACTAATATCTGGACTGTGAGTGAGTGGCTGCTGTTCCAGATTTTTAAAAATGATGGCAGGAAGATTCTAGCCTAGTCACTCCCTAACATAGTAGTTTTTGATGAGTGGGAATGTTCCCTCATGCAAGCCCTACTTGCAGTCTGAAGTGGCACAATCAAGACACTAGGCCAAGGGTCAGCAAACTTTTCAGTAGGGGGCCAGTCCACTGTCCCTCAGACCTTGTGGGGGGCCGGACTATATTTTTGTGGGGGGAATGAACGAATTCCTATGCCCCACAAATAACCCAGAGATGCACTTTAAATAAAAGGACACATTCTACTCATGTAAAAACATGCTGATTCCCGGACTGTCCGCGGCCTGGATTTAGAAGGTGATTGGGCTTGATCCGGCCCCTGGGCCTTAGTTTGCCTACCCATGCACTAAGCCTCTGAATAAAATAAGAAAACAGTTTAAAAAAGAAAAATAAATGAGGCTATAATGAGATAGAAGGAAACAAGAGGCAGGGAGACGCAAGATTACATAGAAAGTTTAAAACACATTTATGCTGGATCTGATAAAAGCTCAGATAAATTGATAGAAGAGGGCCTGCTGAAGGATGCTGAGGCAGTGGAAACAAAGACTTTGGGCTAGCTAGGCCCTCCAGTTCATGGCTCTTCAAGCTGCAGGGTTGAGTCAGAAACTCAGTAGCAAGGAACAGAGAAACGGCTTTGAGAGAGGGATCGCTGCTGGTGTGTGTGAATCTCATTTTTGCCTGTGGTAAAGAGAGTTTGCAGGTTACTCTCTTATTATTTCAAAAACTTTCAAAGCCTGTTTGACCAGAAAAGGCAAAAGCAGTGTGTGGGGAGTGAAACATTATTTCAAACCCTTCAGACTTTCATAAGCATCTTTCCTTTTTAATAGGTTTGTGGCCATCAGTGACATATATGAGCCTACTGATGATGGAACTGAAAGTCAGGTGAGATTCCGCAATGTATTTGGTGTTCCGAAGTGTTTTAGAGAAGGGAGAGCCTTACTGCATGGTCCATAGCTGGCTTTAAAGAAGATTCTGGCTTCTTTATCTTCCATTGCCCATCTCATGCATCTGTGGTTTTTCTTGCCTTTGTTTCCCCTGCAGGTATTCTGCTCACGGTCATATGATGCCACTACCCACTTTGAGACAACATGCGACGACATCAAAGACATTTACCGGCGCATGGCAGGGGCTCCCTTTGACTTTGAGAGCATGAAACGGCGCCAGAATGATGTCTTTGGCGAGGATGAGCAGTGACTACTCCCCTTCTCTTTCTCTCCCCTCCCCTCCCCATCCTCCCTCCCCCTGGGTTTTCCCCATGCAAGGGACCATACTAGGGACTGGCTTTACCCCACACCTCATCTGAGACTGGCTCTTCCAGATAGTCATTCAGCTATGATTGATTTCTCTTAATTGTGACCATTCCCCTTAATCCGCAGGGAGAAAAGACATTCCTAGTTTATTTTCCCACTCCATCTCATATCTTTCTGCTCACAAGAGAAAGACCCCTCCCCCCTCTCCCAACAACTGAGGTTGCATCAGAGTTGGTGCAGCTGAAATTCTTTGGGGACCCATTCTCTTACAGAACAGGGATTTGTATTGTATTCAATTGCATGCATTTAACCTCTGCTGGCTACCAACTTCTAGGAAAAAGCAGGCTTGGGTGATTTGGCACACTCTTCTGCTGCAGCTCCTTCCCTCTGCATGTTTGTAAGGATAAACACACATCTGAAAGCGGGCAGAAGTAAGCACACTAGTCACTTTTCCACTTCAAGTTGCCCCATCACAAATCTGTTCCTAGAAGCAGCAGACACCAGGGGTTTAAAGGCATGTAATTGCATGGAGCATGCAGTTTGGCCTTTGTTCCTGCTGCTAATCTCAAACTTTCCTCATCTCTTCCACTTTGCCCTCCTCTCAGCTCCCATGTTATTTTCTGTGCCTCACAATTCCCCCCCCCTTTCCAGTTCTGATCCCGGTGAATTAGCTTGCTTGCTTCACTTGTGACAGACATTCCTCCCCTCGCTTACATATAACGCAGCCCTCCTTCCTTCCCATATTTATCATGATCATGGTGTGAATATTCATTTCTGTATGCTGAGAAGAGGCTGGAATGACTAGCACTACAGGATTTGGGGGGGGCGTGAAGGGCCCCTCTGAACCGCCTCTTTCCACACATGCTGTCCCTCTGGCCAGTCCCTCCCCTCCCCCACATTGCCACTTCAGGTTCTCACAGGCCTCTTTGTTTGTCTTGTGTCCATTTTGTCCCCTCAATTCCCTCTTAGTTACTTTAGCCTAAAGTGGGGGAAGATTTGTGTGTGCGTGTGTGTGTGTGTATGTGTCTCTCGTGTGCTGGACATAGGGACAGGGTGGTGGTTCTGTCCCCTTCCACTTGCTGCCACCTGCTGTAACTTATTGTAACTTATTAATGAAGCAGGTCAAACTTTTGTTGACACACCTGATAATTAACGAGGTTTGGATGGGGGCGGTTAGGCCCTGGCATGAGCAAAAAGGCCTGGGGTCTGTTTTGTGTCAGAGGCTTCCTTCCTGCCAAAGCTGGCTTTATGGTTAACAATCTGTCTGTAACTCTAGTGGGATATGAGGGGTCACCTCCCTCCACCCCACAGCTGCTCAATTGTCTCAAAGTAATAAATTCACTTAGTCTAGCTCTGGCTCTTGTCTGGTACCACCACCGTGGGAATGAGAGGGGTGGGGAGGTCACGTTTAGGCCGCCTCCTAAGTAGAGAAGGGAGGCTTTTGTAGAGAAAGACCATGTTAAACTCAGGAGATGGATGAAAAACTTCATGTGAGACATGGCATAATGAGAATGTTGGAGAAGTCCCACAGCCTGGCCTTTGTGGCTTAATCTTTTTGGAAATGAATTCCAATGCAGAGCCCAGCGCCTTGTGAACCATGAAACTTGAATTTTGTTTTAACCTGCACAGCTTAACTCTGGTTACAGACTTCCATCTCATCTGCTTTTTTTCTACTGCTCAGTGTCATTTTTTCAAGAATTTAGAGTTAAGCAAGGAAATGAAGAATTGCTGTTTTAGGGAGCCAACTGTTGGAATTGATCAGATTATTCAAACTTTCCCCAGTCTCCCTGTGTGTCACCAAGATCTGAAAGCAGATAAGTGCAGGGTTTAGCAAAATACGACCCTTAATATGTATCTAGAAGTGTGGCACATATTTGGGCATAATGCATTTACCTCTCATCTACCTTGGGCTAAGACCTTTGGCTCAGTTAATTTATGACCCTTTCCTCTTGGAGCAGAAACCCTGTTTGCCAAAATAATATGGGGACAGGAGCAGTACTTGCAGGGAAGAATTGGTGAAGAGTTGTTAGGCCTTCTCTGCAATTCTGCCCTCAGGGAGCCTCTCTTTACAGTAAGAGTGCTGGTTTTTATTCTCCCTCTAGCACAGTGCTTCTGCCATACTAGAGCAATGATCATTAAAAGACTCTAGAAGAAATCTCTGACTCTTGTGGAGCAGGGACATGAAGAAGAGCCTCAGATGAGGGTTGCAGGGTCTGGGTCAGTTCATATATGGATAAACCTTTTGGGCAGATACTGTGAAATTTACATATTGAAGAATTTAGAGGGCACCGCTTATTTCCTGTTGAGCTGCAGAGCCAACTCAAGTAGAATGAAAATATTGTTTACAATATTTAGAAAGGTGGACAATTCTAAACAGAAGAGGTTTCAAACTAATATCTTTTAAAAAGGATATCCACACAGAATTCTCCACATCTGGGCAAGTGTGGTAGAAGTACGCAGAAATCACTGTAAATGCAGTCAGAACATTTAAATAAAACTGGTCACATCTACACCATCCATTTAAAGCACATGGCTTCCCTGAAAGAATCCTGAGAAGTTTAAGGGTGCTGGAAATTGTAAGTCTCTGAAGGGTATAGTTTCCAGGTACAGAGAAGGTTGACGTTTTCATTGCAGTACTCTGAAAAGTACATTCTATTTTTTGGTTTTTTTTTAATGAAGGCAAGAGAACACATCCTGCAGGCTTCAAATCCCTTTTCTGTTGGGATGTCTGTACCTTTAAAAGACAAAAATTCAACAGACTTGAGATGTGCAGGGAAAGATTTAACTTGTTTAATTTCTACACCATGTAATAAGTTTTGAGGGCACAGGATTTGCAAGTCTTCTTTCCTGTAGTACTCTGGAAGAACTGGAAGCATCATGTTGCCTTCCCTCACGCCCCAAAAAGCTTGTCCCAAGTTGTGTTTTTATTGTTGGTTTTCATTGATTTTTATATTAGTCACTTCCATCTTTGCAAGAAAAGCGATTAACAGATAGGTGTGACAACTCTGAAGGGCATAAAATACTGTAACTGCAGCTAGATGCAAGGAGAGGGGGGTGCTGTATTTCACCCTGCAAACTAAAAAAGAAAACGGGGCTTTCTGCAGGCTGACTGCCAAACCAGCCTTTCCCAACCTTGGGGAGGGAGGATGTTCCAGCTGTTGTTGGACTCCAACTTCTCTCATCCCTAGCCAGCAGGACCAGTGATCAGGGATGATGGGGGGGAGGACAATGGGGGAAAGACTATACAGGCTACGATCTTATACAGCTGGGAGTAAGCCTCACTGAGTTCAATGGGGCTTACTTCTGAGTAAATGTATTCACAGGCTCGCACTGCACGCCTTTGTCTCAAGCGCGTTCCTTCCCTCCGAGTCCTCCAGAGACACAAGGGATCAATAACCCACACCGTTTCCGTCGGCCCTCTAGGGGGCGCTGGCTCCGCGTCGTCGCCATTCGCGGAACCGGAAATGGGTCCTGCGCACTGACTCCTCCCTGAGCGAGTTTCCGGAAGACGCTTCATCGCGACAGGGCTTCCACCATAGTGATGCCGCGGGCCAGAGCGGAACTTAGCCAATAGCGGGCGGCTCCGGTTTTTCGCCCTGCCGGAAGTTCCGCTCGCGAGTGACGTAGGTAAGGCAGCTGGTGGGATCTGCGGCTGGAGAAAGGAGAGGCGGAATCACCGGGTGCTCCTTCTCCTGAGCAGGCAAGGCCGCGCCCGGCCCCTCCATTTGCGCGCCCCTGTTTCCCCGGCCGGATCCGAGGCCCTCAGCCGTCCAGGTTCTTCCCCCTCGCCTGCTCCTGCTCTCCGGGCAGCAGCCTTTGCCGCGCTGGGTGCAGCTGCCGCTCGAGGGGCAGAGCTGGGGGGTCTGTGGTAGAGCCACGCCCCCACGAGCCCGCTTGGAAGGATTCTGGCTAATGAGGCCGGGAAATCTCTTTAGGGAGGCTGCGAGCCCGCAGGCGCAACATCCCGGCCGGTTAGTGCGGGCAGCGCCTGCACTTTGGAACTCCCTGCCGATTGATCAAGCAGGCGCCTTCGCTGCGCTCTCTTCGGCGCCTGCTTAGAAACATTCCCTAACCCTGCCCAGATGGTTAGAAAGTTGCAGCAGAATCATATTCTAGACAGTAGCATCTAGTCCAGCCTCCTGTGCAGCTGTCCCAGACGGGGATTGAACCTGCAACCTTGGCGTTATCAGCTCCAGGCTCTAACCAACTGAGCTATCCATAGAATCTTAAGAGTTAGGAGGGACCATCATCTAGTCCAGGCACGTTCAACAGGTAGATTGTGATCTACTGGTAGATCACTGGCTACCCCCAAAGAAGCTCAGCAACTTTGGCTCCCCTAAAAAAGCTCAACAACTTTGATTTGAACCCAAAAAAGGGGGTAGATCACTGTCAGTTTTTAACTCTGTGAGTAGATCACTGTCTCTTGGGAGTTGGCCACCCCTGATTCTAGTCCAACCCCCTGCAATGCAGGAATGTCAGCTAAAGCATCCGTGACAGAGGGCCAACCAACCTCTGTTTAAAAACCTTCAAGGAAGGAGAGCCAGGTTAAAGTACCGTATTTTTTGCTCCATAAGACTCACTTTTTCCCTCCTAAAAAGTAAGGGGAAATGTGTGTGCATCTTATAGAGCGAAAAATACGGTAGTTTTAATCTCTTGGTATTTCAACTTATGTAGGTTTTAAAGTAGTGTTGTAAATTTTTCTTAATTTTATTGTTTTGTCTTCCTGTAAACCGCTTCGAGGTTGTTGTTGTTTTGTTTTTGTTTTATAAGCAAGCGGTGTATAAATCTTATGAAATGAATAAATAAATAGTCAAGAGCAGACAGTACTGAGCCAGATGGGCCAATGGTTGCTTGTTATAAAGCTGCTGCTTCATACATTCATGTCTATGTGGGGATTTTTATTTTTGCCTCACAGGTCCATCTACAGCCATGGCGCAATACAAAGGAGCTGCCAGCGAGGCTGGCCGGGCACTCCAGCTGATGAAGAAGAGGGAGAGGCAGCGGGAACATATGGAACAGATGAGGCAACGGATTGCTGAGGTGAAAGGAAGCAGAAGCTCCTAAGGGGCAAGATGGGGGGGGTATAATTTGGTTGCTGAGAGAGGTATTACCATGAGGGTGTGGTGCAGAACCATTGGAGGACTCTGAATGCAGGGAATGGGAAAGAAGGCAGCAGCATGGAATTGTCTGTTCTTTGTTGTCAGGAAGAGCCAGTGCAAAATACGGAAAGGTGTTTTCAAAATGATCATAGAATTTTGTAGAGTTGGAAGGGACCACGAGAGTCATCTAAAAAGTTGCAATGCTTTTCATATGTGATGCTTTTCAAATGCACCTTTAAGCCGTTTTTCTGCAATCTGTAGTGTTCATACAGTATAAGAAACCAAACTGAGGCATTTTAAAATCAATCAGATGTTCTAATAAATATTTAACAGCATATTCAAATTATGGTTGCAGGTAATACAACACCCTAGCCCATGGTGAAGCTGAGCATGCTGAGTAAAAATACTTTAAACCAACGTATCTATCTTTTGGCAATAGTTGTGGATAATAGTTTCCTCGTGATTCCTCCCCCCCCCACTACATTTCAGTAGGCCCTTGGCATGGTTTTTTGTTTTTTCTTTAACCTCACTGCTCTTTCATTATAGAGTTGAAGGGGTACTATGGGTCAGTTCAATCCCTGCCCTAAGCAACCTTAAATATTTTCCTTGCAAACCTCTCTAGGAAGATTTCACAACTTACTGTTTTACCATAGGGATGGAGAACTTCTGTTCTTCCAGATGTTGACCTTCAGCTCCCATCAGCCTAGCTAGCATAGCCAATGATCAGGGATGACAGGAGTCGTAGTCCAAAAGCAACTGGAGAGTCACAGGTTCCCCATCTCTCTATCACCAGATTTCTCTTAGAGGTTTTTATTCTTCTGGCTTGATGTATTCTGTATATTCTCGTCTCCTTTTCAATCACTTGTCCATTCCACCTCTTGTAAGTTTTGGCTACCAGATAAAAAAATTCCTGTGTGGTTGTATCCCTTTTTGTGAGTATTTGTTTTCTGCATGACTATGGTTTGCAGTTTTCTTCTTTTATTACTGTCAGAAATTGCCCATCTTCCTCAACTTGTCTGTCACATAGCACATCTTTCCAAAATACCTTTCTAATTGTCTGAGTATAGTGAAGTACATTCCCTCCACCCCACCTCTTTTAAAACCTGGACTTTGTTATCCTTTCTCTTTCCTTTTATTTGACTAATCACATCTTTCATGTTAGGATCATCACCATCACATTGTCTGTTAGTATTGCTCTGTCAAAGTGAATTAAGATTTAAATGAATTGAGATTCTGATCATTCTATTAACCTGCTGAAAGAGAAAATAATAACCTCAAATGCATGTAAGGTCTCTTGCATAGTTAAATAGGTTCTGTCTCCAACAAATATGGTAATTGCAGCAAATTTAGAAAAATTATAGGTGCTCAGAAATATTTCTAGTTCTGAGTTAGTTCCTTATTATATTGAACAGGTGTGGGAAGCCCTGGGGCCTCCAGATGTCAGTGGACTGCAATTCCCATCAGTATGGCAAATGGCGAAGGATGTTGGTAGTTGTAGTTCAGCAGCATTTGGAGGGCCAAACACCTGATCTTGAATATTGGTTTGCTGCTTTGCAACTTGAACACCAAGCACATGCCTTTGAAATCTCCCTCTCCTCCGAGCAGTAGGGCATAACACAGCTGCTTCTACCTACTCCAGTCTTGGCATTTTCCTCCCTCTACCTGCTGTCACAAGCAAGAATCCCAAGTGTGCCGTACCTGGGGGGGCGGTGGATGACAGGACCAGTAAGGGAGCAGACACAACTTCCTTTTCTTCTGCTTTATTAGGAGATTTAAAGTTTTATATGAAGTGCCTGGGCTGCAACACTGCTTTCTTCTGTAGTGTTAAGCTCACCAAACAGAAAGGTGTTTCCCTGGAAGCAGGAGAGCTTAGATTGTGCAGTGTGTATTTAGTGCCAGAGAACAATCTAATTCTTTATTAGAGAATTCCTCATTCAACGGCTCTGATGGATTTTGCGGGTCTCTAAGCAGACATTCACAGTGTTATCTTTTTTCCTTCATCCAGATACATTCACAGGTATTGCCATTCCCTTCATCTTGGACCTGGGTGACCGTATACTTTTTCTGCAATGCATTGAGTTTATAGACTACTTTCCCTGTGTTTTTATAACAAGCTATACCCCCTGAATAATAATGACACTTCAGTCCTGAGAGCTTTCCCCAACAAGTCTTGCCAACAGTACCACTGCTTCTGTTTAGCTCACCTTGCTTGCTTCCCCTGGGTTCCCTCTTAGTATACAAAAATGCTGTGTGCTTGAAAGTCTCAAATGAGCTCTCTTCTTGCCTTGGACCTTTCTGAGCTTCTGAAGGGCACTTGTTCCTTCCAGAAATGATTACAGATCCTTAGACTTTGTTCTCTGGGCTCACATCTCCCAACCATTTAGATCAGCCTTCCCAATGTGGTACTTTTCAGATGTTTTGAATTACAGTTGCCGTCACTCTTGACCATTGGCCATGCTGGCTGGGAGAGGTGGGAACTGGAGTCCAAAACATCTGGAGGATACCAGAGAGGGGTGTGCTATAGATCACTTATTGGATTGACAAGGCAGTGGCAATGTTGATAAAACAAATACGGTTTGGGGTGTTGGCCCCTTCTTGTGGAGCCCGACTTCTCAGCCTTGAAGACACTGAATTCCTCCTGGCAGCACTGCCTGTGAAGCGAAGCATTCTGGTTGAGGACCTTTCCATGCCCAACTTGACTTTTTTCCTTGGTGAAAAGGATTTTCCTCTTTTTCTTTACTTCTTTCAATCAAAATAAGTAGAACATGTACATAATCTGTCCCAAGTCTTTGGATTAAGGTAGGCTATGAATCTAAAATAGTTGGGATACAGAGTGTGAGTGCTTATCTTAACCAAGGGCAGGATGAGATGAGAACACTAAGGGCATGTGAGGTTTTCCTATGGCTGCCCTGACCCCAAACAGCACATGGGTTGATGTCCCCTAATCTGTGTTCCTCCTCCTCTTGGGGTAGTTGTACATCTTTGTAGATTTAGTCTAAGAAGGTGGGCTGGAAGTAGTAACTGGAATATCGCTGGGTCTCTAGCTTCTTGTGGCAGCAAACTTGATCTCCTCTTTCCCATGGCAGGAGAACATCATGAAGTCAAACATTGATAAGAAATTCTCAGCTCACTATGATGCAGTGGAAGCTGAGCTGAAATCCAGCACTGTTGGTGAGTGTGGGAAGGGAGCCCAGTGCTGGGGAATGAAGCTGCAGGGGTCCTAGTCTCCATTCTTTGACTTGAATGGATGAATAGACCCTACTTCCCTGCACAGAGCTGGGTAATCATCACATGGGAGGCCTGATTCCCAGCACATTTTCTTCTGATAGGCCTGGTGACCCTCAACGACATGAAGGCCAAGCAAGAGGCTCTCGTAAAGGAACGGGAGAAGCAGCTGGCAAAGAAGGAGCAGTCCAAAGAGCTGCAGCTGTGAGTTGTGGGTGTTCGACTGGGATGGAGAATATTTTTTCTCTCCTTCATGAATGTTCCCCCTGTACTATAGGGTGGTGTATAAGATCTGGAGTGCCGTAATGGTTAAGACCGTAGAGTTGGATGGGCCATGGAGGTCATCTGGTCCTAGCCCTTGGCACAATGTACCTTCAGCATCCCTGGTGGGTGGCTATTCAGATGTAGGCTGTGCAGTGAGAGCATCCCATTTTAAACTATAGAACACTAAGACATGCAGTCAGTCATGTTCAGGTGAGGCAGAATGGAACTTCTATGTCCAGAGGCATTCTATCTGGACAAAACTAAGAAAAAAATTGGAGCTAAACCAAGGAAGAATATTGCCTTCATGCCTTTCTTGTGAGCTTCCCAACGCAACCACTGGCTACGGTTGGAAGCAAGGGTGCTGGGCTATGTGGGTGCTTGATCTGATCCAGCAGGGCCTTGAGCATGCCACTATTTTCTCTCAGCCTTGGTGTCTCCTCCTGCAGTACCGGCAGCATAATACTGGCCAAACTTACAAGGTTGTTGTGAAGATTACTACAGTAATGGTTGTGAAACACTTTGAGCATTGTTAAGCACAGGTATTGCCTGAAGGCTTATGATGCAGCCACTCACTGGGCCTGGGTCTGATCTGGATGGGAGACTGCCTGACAACCCCATGAAAGTTGCCTTAAGTTCCAAGATGAAAGAAAGGCAGATTATAAATAATCCTAAATAAATAAGGACATGTTGTTATTCGCTTCCCTCTAGTGTAGCAGCTTTGTGACTCTTAAGTTCCCTTCCTGCCCATCTCCCTAATCTGAGAAGTATGACCAGTCTGGGGATACTCTAACATCAACCCCTCTTTCCTCTTCAGGTCACTTGCTGTTTTTCAACTCTCTGCTTTCCTCCACCATCTTTGGAATGCTTTGTTTCCCCCTCCCCATGAGGGGACATGCCCTGTGAAGCTGATGTTGGCTTGTTCCTCATAGGAAGCTGGAGCGCATGCGGGAGCGGGAACGCAAGCAGGAGCAGAAGCGGAAGATCTCAAGCTTGTCCTTCACCCTGGATGAGGAGGAGGAAGATGATGGCATCGAGGAGGAAGAGGAAGAGGCAGAGCTGGAGCGGGAAGGTGAGGACTGGAAGGCTGGGGGCTCCCAGGTGGAGAGGGAAGCCCAGGTGGGCCTGGAGAGTGGTGATGCTGGAAGCAAGGTGGGGCTGTGAAGTTTCAAGGGTAGCTCCTCACTCTTGTCTGATTGCACCACCTCCCTCAGAGCTGGCCCCCAAGAAGAAGAAACTGGGGAAGAACCCAGATGTGGACACCAGCTTCCTGCCTGACCGTGACCGTGAGGTACGCTGCTTATCTGCCTTCTGTGGCGCCCACCCACCTCCATCCTCAAGTACCCTGGAGGGGGTCCCCAATGCCCCTTGCCAGCTGCATCTTGCAAGGCACTTTGCTCCCATCTTTCCCTCTGTGGATTGTTCCTTTCTGCACTAAGGCAGGAGCGAGGATCCTGTGGCCTCTCCTGAAGTTACTGGACTGACTCCAGCTCCCATCATCCCTGACCCACTGGCCATGTTGGCTGGAGGCTGAGGGGAGTTGGAGTCCAAAAACATCGGGAAGGTGCTGGGTTTCCCCAGCCCCACCAAGGCATCACCTTGACAGCTTTTGCCCTCTCCTCCGGTTTCCAGGAGGAAGAAAATCGCCTGCGAGAAGAACTTCGCCAGGAGTGGGAAGCCAAACAGGAGAAAATAAAGAGTGAGTGACGGAATGTGGTGTCGATGGCCTGGCCTTGACCACTGGTTATCAGAGCCTGTCATGTGGTCATAGCAGGGGAGGGGTATTGTTTACAGGAAGATGCTGGAGGTTTTCATATTTCTTCTGATGAGAGAGGTTTTTATTCTGCTCTTCTCTTGACTCCTCTGCGATATTCCTCTCCCACCAGGTGAAGAAATAGAAATCACCTTCAGCTACTGGGATGGCTCTGGGCACCGCCGGACTGTCAAGGTGAGCTTTGCTCCATGCAACATCGGGCTCAGTTCTTAGCTTTGGAAAAGGAGTTGGTGGCTTAGCGTGTGGGGTGGTAGGAGCCCAGATGGTTGGCTTTTTCCATTCAGTGCACCAGCGGTGGGGAACCTTTTTGTCCTGCATGCCAAATCTGACTAGGGCTGGGGGCACCTGCCTGTCAGCTAACATCCCAAATGGGAACAGGACACACAACCAATACAGGATTAAACCCTGTCCTCCTGCCCATCAGCTGCTGTCAACAATGATGTCAGCTGATGGTCGGGTGAGCACGGTTTGGGGAAATTGGCCTTGCGGGCCACATTGAACCCCCTGGCAGGCAATGGCTGGCACACAGGCTGGAGGATCCTCACCCCTGCAGAGCACAAACCCCCAGTGTATGACCACCTATGGACTGATAACGTTGCTCTTAGCTCTCTACCCCATGAATTAAAAGCTACTTGCACCAAAATATCCACAGCTTCAGTTTACTAATCTACCAATTAAGGCCTGAAGCCATTAATCTTATATGTAAAATAATGCCCTCTCATTCATATTCACACACACACACAGTGGAGTGACTGAGTGTGAGAGAGGGTGTGCACCAGTGTGCTGTAGTGTTTAGAGCCTCAGTGTATGTTTTTGGTTAAAATCCCCACTCAGCCATGAAGCTTACTGAGTGACTTTGAACCAGTCCCTTTCTCAACCTAGCTGTACAGGATTGTGGTGAGGATAAAAGCATAGAGAACCACATGTGCTGGCTTGAGCTCCTTGAAGGGAGTAACAAGATGTAACTGTAATAAATACCACCACACACACATACTAGCTGTGTGTGTATCCTTTGAGGATTCTGCAGGTTATATTTTTGGGCTGGGGCATGTAAACGAGGAAGATCCATTCCAGACTGACTTTCATTTCCCCGCAGTGCAGATGAAGAAGGGCAACACCATCCAGCAGTTCCTGCAAAAGGCCCTGGAGATCTTGCGTAAGGACTTCAGTGAACTCCGGTAAAGGACTTGGCAGAGTTGAGGTAGCTCACCCAGGGTGGCGGGAATGGTATGGCCAAAGCGTAAGAGAGAGATCATAGAGTCCAAGTCATCGTGGTCTAGTAGGGAGTGTATGATCTGGCCGTGGTAGATTTGAGTTAAAAGTCCCTACCTCTTGGCCTTAGATCTTCATCTGTAAAATGAGGATGATTCATTAATATGCAAAGTCACAGTAGGAGCTGACAGCACAGACTTTGTAATGCAGCCAGCATACACACATACACATACACAAACACAAGCAGAGTGCAGGAGAAAAGTGGATGCTTTTCTGGAGCATGTTTCAGTCAGAGTTACTGGCTGCTGAGGGTATGAGGCTTATTGGGCAGGGGAAGATGTTGGGTTTAGACTTTGAGTATGTCTCTCCTTCGCTCCCCTTGCAGGTCAGCTGGTGTGGAGCAACTTATGTACATCAAGGAGGATCTGATCATCCCACATGTGAGTGGATGGCCCTGGGCCAGCCTGTTCTGCTTTTCAGCATTCTGCCCCCTTTATGCATGGGGAGAAAGCATCCAAATTGTACCTAATTCATCCTTGTCCTAGTGATCTAAAAGCCAGAAGATCAGAACTTCCTTATTTAGACCTTCCAGAGTATTAGAGGGGTGTGTGAAGCAGGATTCTCCCTCCCTCCCGTCCCCAACAAAGTTCAAACAAAACTAGGAGAAAACACTTGACTTGTTGTACATAGGGACTGCCAGTGCTTGCTTTTAGGGAAGTCCACTTCCTGCTTTGAGAAATATTTAAAGAGACCCCAACTTCCATCACCCCCAGTAGTCCATGGGATCTTCCTTTGACTCAATCAGCATGTGAAGTGGGATGGTTAAGCCAGATTCAGTTAGGTCCCCCCTGGAAAGAAGTGGAATAGCTCTAGGTCTGTCTGAGTGGGGTGGTACCCCATTCTTCTTCAAATACTGAAACAAACCCCAGTTAACACTTTCTTTTTGTGGGGGACACTGCCCTTTGTTTCCGTCCCAGTTCCCATCTGCCACAAATAAAGTAAGTCCATTGGCTGCGTTCCTCTGTGTGGGCTGGGAGTATATTTGAGACATCCCTTCCTGAACCCATTTCTTTCTGCCTGTCTAGCACCACAGCTTCTATGACTTCATCGTCACCAAGGCCCGGGGGAAAAGCGGTGAGTTTTTTTGCCCTCCCTCCATTGCCAGCCTTCGTCCATTCTGAGTCTACTTGGGGAAGTAATGCAGGGGGTGGGTTCTGTTCTAGTTACTGTGGCACAGATGTGGTGGTGGTCAGAGTCAGACTGGGCTGCAGTAGCATGTTGGCAGAGAGAAGGTTGCTTGGGCTAAGAGAAAAGGCAAAGGGGCATAAACATAGAAGCAATGGGCAAATCGCAGTGAGACTGTCCCCTGTGACATGGCGACAATCAAAGGAGTAGCGACTGAAGCATTGGTAGAAAGGGAGAGGCTGAAAAGGGGATGTAGACTTTCCTGTGGGTTATAAAGTACTTGGCTGAGGTTGAAAGTTCAAGAGAGGGGTTTGGGCTGTGGGGGTAGGTGTGATAAGCTCCAGTATGAGCCTTTTCTCTCTCCCATGGGGTGCTCCCCAATCCAGGGCCGCTCTTCAATTTTGATGTACACGATGATGTTCGGCTTCTAAGTGACGCAACAGTGGAAAAAGATGAGGTGAGGAGGAGGAGGGAACTTGGCCCAGCTCTGTATTAAGTTCTGTATTAGGTGGCACCTACAATAGTGTCAGGGATGCGGGTGGCACTGTGGGTTAAACCATAGAGCCTAGGACTTGCCGATCAGAAGGTTGGCGGTTCAAATCCCTGCGACAGGGTGAGCTCCCATTGCTCGGTCCCTGCTCCTGCCAACCTAGCAGTTTGAAAGCACATCAAAGTGCAAGTACATAAATATGTACCGCTCCGGCGGGAAGGTAAATGGCGTTTCCGTGCACTGCTCTGGTTCGCCAGAAACGGCTTAGTCATGCTGGCCACATGACCCGGAAGCTGTATGCCGGCTCTCTTGGCCAATAAAGCGAGATGAGTGCTGCAACCCCAGAGTCGGCCACAACTGGACCTAATGGTCAGGGGTCCCTTTACCTTTATAGTAGTACCAATTCCGCTGATTGACGTAGTCGGGTGGCCTCATGCGAGGACAGGCTCTTAGGTAAACTGGTCCAAAGCTAAGGGCAATCCTGCTGCAGCATTCTGCACCATCTGCTCCTTCTGGACCAAGTGCAAGGGAAGCCCCGCAGAGAGTGCATTTCACTCCAGAATACATGGACAACACTTGACTGGGGAATGGCTGATGCAAAGAACTCCTTCCCAAAGAACTCTGCTGTCTGCATTGGGAAAGGAGGGACGTGCTCAAACAATCCTTGTCTTCAGATAAAGTTTCCACCCCCATTCTGAGCTTGCTGGGCTTTTCTGACCATAGTTTCCCCCACCCCAATTCCCCTCTTGTCCGCCATCTCCAGTCCCACGCCGGCAAAGTGGTGCTTCGCAGCTGGTATGAAAAGAACAAGCATATTTTCCCTGCAAGCCGGTGGGAGCCCTACGACCCCGAGAAGAAGTGGGACAAGTACACGGTAGGGAGTGGGGGGAGCTGGGGGAAGGGGTGTGGTAAGGATGGGGGAGCTCTGAAGGAAGGGGAGAGGCGTCTCAAATACTGGGAGTTTCGAATGACTTGCCTTGCGAATTTACGGCAGTATGAGTATATCCCTGTGAAATTATATTGGGCTTTCTTCAGAATACTCTAAATGCTGTGTCTGTGATGTCTTGCCCTGTAAGGTAGGCCAAGATCGATCAGTATCACTATGTTACTAATGGATCATTGAGAGATAATGGCTTGCATAAACCTTTGCAGTAAGTTTATATAGCTGAATTGATATTTGAACTGGGAATGTTCTAGCTCATGACCCCATTTCCTTAACAATCACAGTACTCAACAGTCTGTCTTCACAAGTTTTCCCTTGCTGGAACTCTATTGCCAAGGAATTCTTGATGGTGCTCACTATCTTCTGCTTCATCTTCTCTGTCTAACTGAAACTGAGAACAAAGAGAACAAAGACATTGGATTCTTATCTCATTATACATGACAAAGCCATTTTTCACCTTCTCGCCCCTTGCTTTTATCTGTAAGACCTATTGGGCAACAGGCTCATCACAGCTATCTGCCCATCACCCATTCCCACCACCCTTCTGAGTAATACCCCTCCCCACCTTCTCACTATATAGAAGGATCTGGCAACTTCTGTTTCAGTGTATCTGAAGAAGTGTGCATGCACACGAAAGCTCATACCAAGAACTAACTTAGTTGGTCTTTAAGGTGCTACTGGAAGGAAAAAATTTTTGTTTTGAAACTGAGAAGTTTTGCTTGATGATGATGGCGACAATGACAACCACAACAACAACTTCTATTATTTCTGTTATGCCCGATTGACTGGGTTGCCCCAGCCACGCTGGAAGGCTCTAAAAAGTCACCTGTTTGACATCTTTTGGAAGGGCGTTCCACTGCCGAGAAGGCTCTCTGCCTGGTTCTCTGAACTACCAGAATGCCCACAGAGGTGGACATCAATGTCCAGGTTGGACAATGGAGGTGGAGGCGCTCCTTCAGATATATTGGGTTGAAGCTGTTTAGGGCTTTAAAGGTCAGCACCAACACCTTGAATTGTGCTTGGAAATGTACTGGAAGTCAGTGTAGATCCTTTAGGACCAGTCTTCTATGGTCACAGCAGCCACTCCCCGTCAACAGTTTAGCTGCCACATTCTCAATTAGTTGTAGTTTTCTGAGCAATTGCTTCGTGGTTGTAGACGTTTTAAACTCACCATTCCTTGAGGCATTTTGGCAGCAGTCTTTTATAGCTGTGAAGTGGTTTTTGTTGGGACTGGGCTGTTTATTGTGTTTTAATAATTGTAAGTCACCTCAAGTTTTGAAGAAGCAGGAGGGGAGAATGTTTCAGTGCCTTTAGAGCAGAGATGGGAACCTGTGGACATTAAGAAGTTGTTGTTGAAACCCCAACTCCCATAAGCCCCAGTCAGCATAGTAAATGGTCAGGGATAATGGGAATTGGGAGTCCACCAACATCTGAAGGTCCCACAGGTTCACCAGCTGCAATGTTGTGTGCAATGTGTAGCTTGGCCTAGTGTCCTCCATTCGAATTGCTCACTCCTTCATTCCAGAATCTTGAGCACCCTGTGCTGCAGTTATTTAGCACATCTGCAAAGCGATCAGGTTTGATCACCCCATTGTGTGAACCACCCTGAGATTGTCGGATGAAGGGCAGTATGTAAATTTAATTAACAAACAAGCAAATAATTTTAAAGGAGAATATAGCATGGCAAGTACTAAGATAACATCAAGAAGGGATGATAAACAACATTAATTTGCCTGTGCCCAAAGAATAGAGGAGACTGAGAGCTGATTGGTGCTCTTTAACATCCTCTTTTTAGTGTGTGGATGTGATATTTGCGTCAAAGATTCTTAAAATTCAAGCTCCTCCTCTTGCAGATTCATCCAATTGATGACTCGTACACAATCTGTTTCCTGCCATGTTGCTTTCCCAGCAGCTAGCAGAAACGATGATTCTTAACCCACAAGGCCATGGCCTTGTCCTTTGCATCATCAAATTTCCTCACTCGTGGTTTATCACTGTGGTCTGTTAGGTCATTAGCATTATTCTGTTGTAAATGAACGAGGCACTGCTGTTCTGTAGGCACCCTAAGCGCAAAGAGATGCCACTGTGGTACCTGACCTAGCTATGGAGTGGTGCCCCGTTCATGTGGTTTTCACAAGCGGTGCCCAGTGCTTCCTGGCAAAACTTCTACAGCATGGGACTGGAACAACTCCCACCCTCTTCTTCCTTCCCACAGATCCGCTGAGAGACGGATGAAGCTGCTGATCCTCTATTGGTGTGATACGTGGCTGCCTTCCTGAAGCTGCTGCAGCATCTCTCCTTTATCCCACTCCAGCCCTCCAACCTCTGCAGCTGCACCTTCACCCCTAACTGTATCAGCCTTTGGTGAAATAAACTTTGCCTCACCTAAACATGAAGTGTTGTGTTGTACCACTTGTGGCCAAGGGCTGCCAAATCTGCCAGACTGAAACTTCATTTGAGCCATGGGATAGTGCTTTCAGACTCTGGGTGGGTTCTAATGGAGGCCTGATCAGTTGGTTTCTCATTTTTTCTAACAAGTGTTTCATGCTACTTACGGCCAAGATGCAAAATAAGTAACAAAAGATGCTAGCCTGAAAATATATTGCCTCACCCTCATCAGAGTTGTATTCATCTGTTTTTAATTCAACAAGGGGGAGGGGAGAAAAAGATTAAATTAATTTAGATTAAAGATTAAATAATAATAATAAAATTAAAGAGGAAAGAAAGAAGAAAAAAACTACAAAAATAATATACAAAAAATACCAATAACAGTTAAAGAGACATATTGACATATAAAAGGAAGGTGTGGGGGCAGAACAAACTCCTTTCTAATTTATAATAGTTTCCATTCCTAGTTCTTGTTCACTGCAAACAGTTCTTGTTCACCCCAGACAACCATGCATATATTCAAACTCTCTTAAAGGCACAAGGGGTCATTTACTTGCTTCACTTTGATCCCACTTTTTGACTCTGCACTCCCCACCCGTCACCCAACGTGGCTGCCAGCACTACAAAATCACACTTAAAACCCACATGCAAATCTCAGAACTGGATTTCTGTAAGGCTTTCCTTTCAAGAGGGTGGAATGTGTTCCATAATTCTCACATAACTGCAATTCCAGGGTGCAAGACAAACTTGCAACAAAAAGTATTGATGGAGGTGTAATAAACACAACACATGTAACACCCATCTTTACAAGTCGGAGGGTGATTGTGAATATCAAGCTGCACCTTGACTAAGTATATTTATCTTCCCTCATTTCTCTTCTTTTTGACCTGGAATCCTAACAGTCACTAAAGAATTGCCTTTAGTGTTTCCTCACTTTTCCTGGTTGCCATGTTGCTTCCAGACAATGACAACTTCCAAAATAGGTTATTTATATTTATGCTGCACCAAGAGAGTAGTTGGTGGTGATTATGAAGCATCTTCACACTGATTGGCTGAGCTGCAGCAATGTCACAGAGAGGAGAAACAGAGAGTAGGGTCTCTGTCATGGACAAAATGCAGGAAAGGGGGAAAGTGACTGAGAGGGGGAGAGCGGGCATAGAGGAGAGCTTCATATGGCCAGGAGGTGCAGATCTAAAGAATTATGGCTCTTACGATAACACTCGCCAGCTTGGCCAATGATCTGGAGTGATCAGACTTGTAGTCCACCTACAACTCAGGCCACAAGTTAGCAAGCTGTAGTAAAGGATTCTATATGGACATGAACAGGATCTCTCTTATCTGTTTGCTTTGTTAATTCTGTGGCTGCTGTTTCTCTGTCTTTGGGCTGCTTGGCTTACATAATGCATACTGACTTGACAAGAGTCTGATTCTGAAGATTTAACCGGTGCATTCTGAGTGGATAACTAGTTTACCCAAATCATAGTTCACAGTGAAAGAGTTGGATTCACAAGTGTTGCCTTCTTCCTCACAAAGAGCTGGGGATAGAGTTATGGCCCTCCAGTGTCAGGTATTTTATTCCCAACTTAAGATGGTACAGAGTCGCTTAAAACAACGTGACTGGTGAAAGTATTGGATTACTAGAATGCGCTGCAATGGGACATTTTCTCCCATGGGCACCAGGGGGTGCTGTAATCCCATTAGAGGCACAGCTCAACCCATTTTCAAGGCTTTTATATACAGGAGGGAAATGGGTCCTTGTATAGTGAGGTATGTGTGCTTTTCACTAAGGCAGTACCACTGTTGCACACAGCATTCAAAGGGAGAAAAATTCCCCAACGCAAATATAATAACGCTTCCTCTGAAATAGAAGGTAGGTAGCTTGGGGGTAATTCTGGATCCTTTGCTGTTGCTTGAGGCTGTGGCACCCAGTGCCTTCCATCAGTTTCAGCTGGTGGCCCAATTGCATCCCTATCTGGACAAGGATAGACTGCCATCTATGCTCCAGTAACTAAGTTAGATTACTGTACTGCAACACATTATGCATGGGACTGTCTCTGAAGATGGTTCAGAAACTTCAGCTAGTGTAAAATTCGGCAGTCAGGTTGCTGCTCACCAGGGCAAGATGGTTTGAGAATATTACACCGATCCTGGTGCGACTGCACTGGCTGCCAAATAGTTTCTGGGCCCAATTCAAAGTGCTGATTTTGACCTATAAAGCCTTAAGTGGCTCAGGACTGCAATGCCTCAAGGACTGCCATCCCCATATGAACCAACTCTTCATGTGTCTCCCCCATGAGAGGTCTGGAGGGTGGCAACATGAGAATGGGGCCTTTTCTGCAGTGGCTCCCTGTTTGTGAAATGCTCTCTCCACAGAGGTTCATTAGATACCTTTAGATGCCAAGCAAAATAGTTCCTCTTCAGCCAGGCCTTTGGTTGATTAGCATTCTCTGGCTTTTAAAATGTATTGGGGAGGGTTATCGGTTTGTTTTTGTTTCATTATGTATTGTGTATTCTCATTTTGTATTTCTATGTTGTGAACCGCCCTGGGATCTTCGGATGAAGGGCAGTGCAGTACAGTGGAACCTCGGGTTACAGATGCTTCAGGTTACAGACTCAGCTAACCTAGAAATAGTACCTCGGGTTAAGAACTTTGCTTTAGGATGAGAACAGAAATCGCACAGCAGCGGCGTGGCGGCAGCGGGAGGCCCCATTAGCTAAAGTGGTGCTTCAGGTTAAGAACAGTTTCAGCTTAAGTATGGACTTCCGGAACGAATTAAGTTCTTAACCCGAGGTACCACTATATACAAATTTTAATGATGATGATTATGATGTCTTGGTCTACACCAGACTCCTTTTCTTTTTAAACAAAGACATCACAAAAACACAACTGAGGGACTTCCAAATCTGGGGCAATTTCAGCAACATCTTTTTTTATATTTTGCTGGAGGTTGTGCACCCTACCCCCAAGCTGGGTTTGAACTGTGTCTAACGGGGTTCTGTGTGCAGTGCAGATGTGCAGGCTATGCATGCTTAACACAGATTGTGTGTAAATACCTTTGGCACACAGGTAAGTTCTCACTTGCCCATAGAAACACCTGTGAACACCCCATATACATGTCATGATGACCTCCATATTTTCTGCAGGCACTCTTGCAAATACAGAACCCTTACCCCCCACACACAATGTTTGTGGGTGCACACGATTGTGTAGAGACACATCTTGTATTTAAACTGTGTTCTAGCACTGATATACATTCTCAATAACGTGGCATGAACTATGAGAAGCCAACATGTGGTAAGCCTCAGTAGGTCAAAATGTCCGGAACTGGAAATGTCCTCAGCATGCTTCCTCACCAGTAAATCCCACTAAGTTAAATAGGGTTTCCATCTGGGAACACGTGGGTGGAAATGAAACATCATAGCACCATCCTACTATGTGTGTCCACTCAGTAGTAAGAAGTATTGTATTCAGGGATCCGGATCTGGTGACCCTCCGGTGTTGCTGATCTACAGTCCCATCATCTTTGTCTATGGGCTATGCTGGTTGGGGCTGATGGGAGCTGAAGTCCAGCAACCTCTGGAGGGCCATAGGTCGCCCATCCTTGTACTAACATGCGTAGGATCACACCCTTAAAGGGGATCGGCCAGTTTACTGAGCTGTCTGAGGTTTCTAGGCACCAGAGGTCTTCCTAGGCTATCAACGCCACATTGGAGGTGTGGGATAGATTGGAGGGAAACCTTTGCTTCCAGGGCCTGGCATTTCATGGTTCTCTCTATTTTGAATTTATTCGCCTTTCCAATTGAGGGCTCAGGGGCAAATTGCTTTGGAAATGGGTTGTGAGAGATAAGGCAAAACAATGAAAAAATGACCGGAGAGGAGCAATCTCAGAAAATAGGCAGTAGGCAAATAGATAGAAATGTCACAGATTGATGTTTCTTATGAAGTGGACTCGAGGCCATAAGTGGTTTTCTCGGGTGGGGGTGGGGAGGGGATCTTAATCCTTAAAACACCACAAGAATCTTGGCTGCTTTTGTTGCAATGGATTAATAGGGCTACCCTTCTGGAAGCTGTTAGCCTTGTTGCAGTCTATCCGGTTCACCATTTCTCTAAGCTCAAGTTACCAAGCAGGAAAAGGAGATGGGGAACCCATGGCCCTCCAGACATTGCTAGACTCCATCTCCCATCAGCTGCACTCAGCATGGCCAATGGCCAGGAATGATGGGAGTTGGAGTCCAACATCATCTCACTAGAGAATCACAGTTTACTCATTTTTGTCTCACTCCATTTGATGTAGTTATATAACAGTGGTTCACATACATTAAAAGGTATGGCTCGTTACCACAATAACCTTTTGGATTATCAAGATTAGAATAAAAATGTAGCCATGGGAGCAAGATCTGAGGAAACAAATTGCCCTAGTCATTTGTGCCTTATTTCAGGGAATGGTTCCTTATTTCCTATTAACATTTAGCAACTGTTTCTTGAAACTGGTGGCAAGCCTAGAACAAGCAACAACATCTGGAATACTGCCACAAGTGTTAACACCTAAATGTAGCACTATAAAGAAAGGATGTAGAAAGTTTTGAACAGCTGTCACCTGTTTAAAAAAAAGATTTATATTGGTGGAAAAGTGGCAATGTAATATAGGGAAACAACAACAGTCACAAACTCTCTATAGAGCCAAACTGCTGATTTTGAAAAACCAGAACAGAGTCTCTCTCTCTCTCTCTGTCTGTCTCTCTCTCTCTCTCTGAGAGATGGGGAAACATGTGTTTCCCCATATGTTGTTGGCCTACAACTCCATCCTCCCTGACCTTTGGCCATGCTGGTGTGGGCTGAGGGGAATCCAAGAGCATCTGAAAAGGGCCACAGGTTCCCCATCTCTGTTTTAGGCCTCAGTTCTCATGAAAAAGTAAACCTGTGTCAGAGCTATACCACATCAGGATGCAATTAGGAGCTCACATGACTGAATGCTCCTAATAATCATTATTATCATCCCTGTACATG